CAGACCTCTCTCCCAATTGCAGAGTTTCCCAAACACTATTTAATGGTGAGGCTTCCTCTCCGCCCATCTCAGCTCTTACTTCTGTTCACACCCATGGCCCATTCCTGCCAATGTGGATTTCTTGCTATTTTCTCATGGCTCTCCACAGCCTAGGGTTCTTTCCCTTGCTCCAACATGGAGATAACACTTAGGTCAAAATAAGGGATTCCTACTTGAAAATAAAGAAAGAAATATAAAGTGCTGAGGCTTTTCCAGAACCCCACTCCTACGTTTACTTGAGAAGAGAGGATATTACAAATAAATCTCTAAACATACTTCAGAAATTCATCCACTGATGGCATCCTTCTGAATTCACAGGGAACGTGGTCATATGGACATATCTAGCAATGCTGCAAGAGCCACTGACTCAAAACACAGAAGTAGAAAAAAGGTAATTGGATATTACAGAAGTCTGCCATAAGCTTTTATCCACACAAAAGCTCTGAACCACCCAATGATGTATCATAAGGGGGCAGAACATCTGAAGAAAAGGGACAATTAAAGTCCGGATTCTGCATTATGAAGCTTTTACATCTGAGTTGATAAAGCTTCAATTTCAGTTAAGCAATGCAGGGACTCTCAAGAGACTCACGGAGAAAATGTAAAGACACATAAGCGTGGATCCCGACTTCTGGAAGTAGGTTATCCTCACCCAAGAAGACCAGGTTCCTGTAGTTCTCCAACATCACGTCCCTGTACAAAGCCCTCTGAGCAGAGTCCAGGCATTTCCACTCCTCCTGAGAGAATTCTATGGTCACATCCCTGAATGTCAACCGTCCCTAAAATAAAAAACACATTTCATCAAGGGGCTACAGGGAGAGCTCTAGTCTTCACATAAAATGAGAAGACAGCAGCAAACATAAATTCAATTGAAGTGAGCCTGCCAACAGATGCAGGTTGTGATATTCTGAAATATGTCATTTGGTCTTTGTCCCTCTTTGCTGAAATATAACTCACTTGGAATCTCTAGTGTGGTATCTGCTTTCATGGTAATGAGATAACTGGTGGCTGGAGGCCACNGACTTTGTGGAGCAGAAGTGTTCCAACCTGCCGGCGACCCACACATCCCCAGAGCAGCTGGCCACCCACGACCGGACATGAGCGAGGCCTTCCTGGACCACCAGTCATGGCTGACCCTGTCAAGAACAGAACCACGGCCTGGCTTATCCACAGAATCATGAGAATTGATCAGTGTTGACTGTTCTAACCACTAAGTTTCAGGATAATTTGTTGCTTAACAAAAACGAGTTTATGGAGTCACAGAACTTGAGTAATTGTGCTCTGCCCATAAAATACAAAATCATACCAGAAGAGGACTTTTCCTCTTCTGAGGAACTGAATTTAAGAGAGATTTTTATTTAGGACACAGAGAGTATTAAGCTTGAAATCTATGCCATATGCTTAAAACCAATCTATTTACTCAACAAATATCCTTAATAT